ACCGCACATTTATTGTGTATTACCAGTTAGCACAAGCTTACAGCTTCACCTGAAGTTAATACATTCTTATTTATCTGAGTATTTATACGATGATTATTAATAAAATCTTATTGTAAGTAAAACATTTATTGACTTTAAAACAGCTTAATGTAATCCCTCCTCAGCATATGTTAAGAATCCTAGAACTGAAGCTTTTAACTTTTCCTTAATCTTACGGAAGTTCTACTCATATAAATAGATACATATAAAGAAAAGCCGCCACAGGAAGCGCCTCCCTGTCTGTCTGTGTGTTATCATAAAATATAAGAAGCAGTGGAAGATTTTAATATTGTTTTGACTGTTACTGGTCTATCGTCTATCCTGTAGGTTTGATTGACCATTTTATGACAAATCCCGAAGAAAGCGTCAACCGACAATAGCAAAAGCTTAAAGTTTAAATTAGGTATATCTAAATCTTCAATGGTTTCTGAAACGTTTCATCATCATTATTCCTCTTGTGCTGCACGCCTGTTACCAGAAAGCGAATGTGTCTCTTATTATGCATAACTGTACGAACTTAGCGCCTAATCTAAAAGATATTTAATTGATAACGTAATTCATTTGTCAAAATGACCGTAAAAGGTCACTCAGTTACTTCTATTAATTGAATAACGTGTTTAATTTTATGACCATTTTGTGACTTAGATTTTGTATTTAAGTCATCAAAGAGGGAGGGAGCAAGGTGGACCCAAGTCTCCCTTCACTGGAGTAGTCCCACAACTTTCAACACAGTTGTCAATGAAATCTTGATGAGAAAAAATGAACCACATAAATGCTTGATCCCCGTCAACCATATGTATATTGGTGACGCAACAAATGTACCTACCGAATATGTTAGTGTAGCCATTATGCGCCCCCTAAGAGAACAAAAAACTTTAGTGCTGTAGCGCCCTTAAGAGATGCTTGACTTTGTCCCTTCTGAGTATTTTTGTTTATCTTTTTGATAACATAGTCATTGCATATGTTCCCTTTCCTTATCCCAATTCGGTATATGTGTCTATCAATCCTTTTTAGGTGAAGTACTACCCATAGTACGTGACCCATTTTTTACAATTTTTGCTCCCTTCGCCCTCGATGACTACCCGTAGTATATGTCAAGATTTTCTTCCCCCTCTAGTTTCCCCCTATGGTTTTAAATCATTTTTTGCAACCAGAAAGTTTTGAATATAGCTTGAAAATGTACGAGATTTCCCTAAAGGATATTAACCACGTGACTAAAACCTAAGCCCCCGCCTGTGTACCATGCGTGATATTTTTGAAGACCCCCTAACCCCATGACGGGTGACGTAGTATGGGTATGTTCCCTAAGTTAGTATGGCAAAAAGGATATTTTGTGGATTGGCAACAGCGTAACTGTGGAGTCTACAGCAGTGATGATGAATAATCACCATCCAACGACAGCAGCGAATCGTTTTCTTTACAAAACTGAATACGGCCAAGTGATTAATTAGTCTGCGAGGTGGAAAGAGTAATAGGAGAGGGCGAGCATGTGAATATATGCGTATTATACAGGTACGTGTCAGCAAAAGCACACCCCTAAATACACACACACACACACCCACACTACATAGAATATGAACGCAAGAACGCGTACATAGGAGATTGGAGGTTTCCAATAATAAATAGCTCATCACGTTAAAGCTTGTTGGCAAAAGCGAGACTAAGCTTCCGGAGACCCAGTGAAAAGGAGTGCATGAGGTGACGGCTTTCTTATTCTGATGGGATGAGGCGGAAGGCACCGTGGTGATGAGATTAATGTAAAACTGAACTTTGTCATCATTATCATCGGATTAGACTTCATCCAACATGCACGGGAACATTACCTTAATTACCTGCCTATTCCGATTTCGAATTAGTAAGTGATAAACTTAAAGCTTCTTTGCAACAGTTACGTTTCTGAACCAAGACTAAAAGCTTAATATTTAATTATATATATATATTTTATTATATTTTCTTTTCTCGGTGCATTCACAAACTTATTATTAATAGCTAAAATACCTATCAGAAAGTAGGTATGAGAAATAAAATGGCANTCTTCATTATGTGCTATAAATACTGACATCAATTTCAAAAAAATACCTATCAGAAAGTAGGTATGAGAAATAAAATGGCATAATTTTTTCCAAAAAAATGCGCAGAATTTCCTTTAAGTATTTTCATTTTAAGTTTCTTACACCACTGAGAACCACTTTAACCCGCTGTTAGAAAAATCTAAAGATTTGTATTTTCGTCTATAGTTTTCTGAAAAAAATTCGTAAAATATGGCTTCGCATCCGTAACTGCTTGGATATCTAAATAATTTATACGTTTATTTGTGTAATTGTTTAACGAAAAATATATTAATTTATCTGACAAAAGGTTTGGTATACAATTTAAATAAATAACGCAATATAAATAAAACGTAATGATTGTTTATAATACAAATTCGTAATGTTAGATTAAATCTAACACAGGCGACCAAGTACTGGATAAAACATAGCGAATTAGCTCCCGCGGGTTAAACAGAAATAACCCTAATTTATTGTGTTAATCGCTATACTTGATGGAGACTTTAATTTGTCTTTGATACATCAATATTAAGTACCTATATCACACACCAAACATAATGGACATAAATCAAATAAGGAATTAAAATCGTCGCGTCTGTATATCAAGTAACTAAAACTATACTAACTCCTAAAATCTGAATTAGACAGAACAAAACCCGACGATTTTTACCAATATAAAAATACTTTCTTCACATCAAATGAACATAACCACTTAATAGAAGAAACGTATAATAATTTAAGCGGAAAAAGAAGCAAAAATCAAAAACTAACGTTGCTTAAATCATTGTAAGTTAATAAATACGAGGGTGGATTGATAAGTTTCCGGCCTGACCAAGAAAAACAAGGTTTTTAAAAATTTTTTTTTTTTATTTCTCAACATAATCTCCTCCAAGGCTGATACATTTCTCATAGCGGTGTTCCAGTCTATTAATGCCATCTCTATAGACTGATTCGTCAAGCTCCTCAAAATAACCATTTACAGCTTCGATTACT